GGTATTGCTACTCTCATTATTGGTCCTGAGGGGTTTATCTGTCCTAGATTCCCTGTGTTTCCAGCTCTTATCTGTACCAGTGTACATCCTCTGGTCTAGCTAGATTTGTAAGGTAGAATTTGGAGTTTGATAGTGGGGGGAAGCAGCATTAAAGAACTAGAGGAAAGTTATATGTTTCATTGGTGCTATACAGCACCATTGGCTCATCTCCTCCCCGCAACCCTTCTGTAAAGGGATGTCCCATTGCCTTCTCCACTCTGCACTTCCCTCCATTCACAATGATATGATTTTTTGTTCTTCGATGCCTAATACCTAATCCTATCAACACCTCATTATCGCACAGGCTAGTGCACTTCTTCTATGTTAGCCTTGTTCCTTCTCAGCTAGATGGTCGCTTGTTCATTTTCAAGCTTTAAAGACCCCAGACGCTATATCTTTTGATAACCAGGCACCATCAAGACAAAGCCAAATATTTTAACAAAATGTGCAAGTACCTAGAACTAGAAAACCAAAGGAAAATAAATGCTGAGCATATCTGAAACTGAAAGAACTCAAGAAAAAAATCAAGCCTCAAACTGCGATTTTGAAAGATTCTATATGCAAAATATTGAATGATGCAGGAAGCATTCAGAAAAGATGGAAAGAATACAGTCATTGCATCAGAAAGAACTAGCCAATAGTCCACCATTTCAGGAGGTAGCAGATGAGAAAGAACCATTGGTGATGAAGAAGTTCAAGCTCAACTGAATGTACTAGCCAAAAACAAGGCTCCAGGAATAGATGGAATACCCATTAAATTGTTTCAAAAAGCTGAAGAAGCACTGCAAGCACTCACTTGTGTATGCCAGGAAATTTGGGAGAAAGCTACCTGGCCATCTGACGGTAAGAAATCCCTATTTGTGCCCATTCCAAAGAAAGGTGACCCAAAAAAATGCTCGAACTATAGAATGATATCATTAATATTGCACATAAGTAAAATTTTACTTAAGATCATCCAACAACAGTTATAGCAGAAGTGCCAGATGTTCAGGCCAGATTCAGAAGAGGACGTGGAACAGGATTATCATTGCTGATGCCAGATGGATCTTGGCTGAAAGTATAGAACACCAGAAAGATGTTTACTTGTTTCATTAACCGTACGAAGGCATTTGACTGTGTGGGCCACAGTCTTCCCTTGAGAAGAATGGGAATTCCAGAACACTTCATTGTGCTCATTCAGAACTTGTACATGGATCAAGAGGCAGTTATGCAAACAAAACAATGGACTACCACGTGGTTAAAAATCAGGAAAGGTGTGAGTCAGGGTTGTATCCGCTCACACTTGTTTAATCTATATGCTGAGCAAATCATCAGAGAAACTGGATTTTATTAAGAAGAATGTGGCATCAGGATTGGAGGAAGGCTTATTAAAAACCTGCAGTTTGCAGATGACACAACCTTGTTCACTGAAAGTGAGGAAGAACTGAAGCACTTGCTGTTGAAGATCAAGAACTGCAGCCTTCAGTATGGATTAAAACTCAATGTAAATTGGTCCTCACGAATGGACCAATAGGTAACACGATAAACAGAAAAGATTGATGTAGTCAAGGACTTTGTCTCACTTGGATCCAAAACCAAAGATCATGGAAGCAGCAGTCAAGAGATCAAAAGATATACTGCAGTAGGTAAATCTGCTGCACAAGACTTCTTTCGAGTATTGAAGAGCAAGGACGTTACTATGAGGACTAAGGTGCACCTGGCCCAAGCCATGGTGTAACAAAGTGCACCATATGCCTGTGAAAGTTGGACACTGCATCAGGAAGACTGGAGAAGAATGGTTGCATTTGAATTGTGATGCTGCAAAAGATTATTAAAAGTACCATGGACCACTAAAAGGACAAACCAATCTGTATTAGAATAAGTATAGCCAGAGTGTTCCTTAAAGTCAAGGATGTGGAGATTTTGTCTCATGTACTTTGGACACATTGTCAGGAGAGACCGATCCCTGGAGAAGGACATCATGTTTGGTAAAGTGGAGGGGTGGTAAAAAAGAGGAAGGCCCTCAACAAGATAGATTGACACACAATGGGCACAGGCATAACTGTGAGGACCATGCACAAGACCACACAGTGCTTGGTTCTGCTGTGCATAGGGTCACTATGGGTCAGAGCCAACTTGATGGCACCTGACAACAAGAGCCTTAGAATCTGTAACAATGCTTTAATTACAAAAGGTGTTTCCTTCAGAACTCAAAACTGTACTTATTATTATTAAATTGCACATGGAAGAGGTAATGCATGATTACACTGCACTCGGAAGAGGTAAATGATAAAAGTAGTAGGTAGTAAAGTGGCTCATAGATACCTACTAGTTTCAGTTTGAAAATCCCGGAAACCATCAAATATTGAACGTGCCGGCCGTCGTCTTTTAGGTGCTTTGGGAAGAAAAACAGAGTTGATTAATAATTTTAAAATATTAATTTTGAAAATTAGCTCTAGAATTTAACTATAAATATTACAATAGATTCGTAATGGTACCCTCCTTCCAAAAAACTTAAACTTTCAAGTTATAATTTAAGTAACTATCTTTAGTCTATCTCATTTTATAAGTGAGGAAATTAAGGCCCAGCTATGAGACTTGCTTAAACGTGCATTAAAAAAAAAATCTACTAATGATATCAGGAAGAAAGATTTTGAGTATGACTCCACATAGAGATGAAGCTACATAAATGCTTAACTACTCAATTTAGGTCTAAGGTGGTGGTTCTCAACTTGTGGGTCGCAACCCCATTGGGGGGTCAAACGACCCTTTCATAGGGGTCACCCAATTCATAACAGTAGCAAAATTACAATTACGTAGCAACAAAAATAATTTTATGGTTGGAGGTTCACCACAATATGAGGAACTGTATTAAAGGGCTGGGACATTAGGAAGGTTGAGAACCACTGGTGTACGGGGTATGCCAATCTTAAATTCTAAACTATTACATTTTGAAACATCTTAGTAAGTGCACACATTTAGACTTCTAAATACGAAACATTTTTAAATTTGAGGAGAAAAAAATATCCCAGTTATCCAATGCTTTAATTACAAAATACTCCCTAAAAAGAATCAAAGTCCCTGATATCTCTGTAAAGTGTATACTAGCCAATCATAAAGTATTTCACACATATGGTTGAGACTGCAATAATCAGAGCAACATCTTCCTATGTGCATGTATTCTTAAGCTTAAGAAAAATTATCAGACCATTTATATATATATTACAACAAATATAGACCTTTAATGATTCTTTCAATTTGGGTAAGTTATTAAGTTGGCTTAAAAGTCTGGTCAGCATCACAGTAGACCAATGTTTCAAATCATAATCATTAGCAAGATCAAATATGAAACAGTATAAAAAAGATGCCAGCATCTTTTCTGACAGGCTGCATATACCATTAAGTAGTGTAACTATCTCTACCTAAGACTACTGAGTATGTGTATATCAGTATTTATGTTAAAGAATCATATTATCTGGGAAAAAGGATTTGAAAAAAGGTTTTTGCAATGCATTTTTTCCAATAAGCATTACTTGTACGTGGCTTTCTTTTTTTCTATTTAAAAACATGGCAGGGGATCTTTAAGTGATCCGTGCGCACGCGTCAACTTCCTTTTTTTTTTTAACCGGCTGGAATCATGGAGGCTGTCGCAGAGAAGAAGAAGGCGGCCCCTGCTGTTCCAGAGACCCTTAAGAAAAAGCGAAGGAATTTCGCAGAACTAAAGATCAAACGCCTCAGAAAGAAGTTTGCCCAAAAGATGCTTCAAAAGGCAAGGAGAAAGCTTATCTACGAGAAAGCTAAGCACTATCACAAGGAATACAGGCAGATGTACAGAACTGAAATCCGAATGGCTCGGATGGCGAGGAAAGCTGGCAACTTCTATGTGCCTGGAGAGCCCAAGCTGGCGTTTGTTATCAGGATCAGAGGTATCAATGGTGTGAGCCCCAAGGTTCGCAAAGTGCTGCAGCTTCTTCGCCTTCGCCAGATTTTCAATGGCGCCTTTGTTAAGCTTAACAAGGCTTCAATTAACATGCTGAGGATTGTGGAACCATACATTGCATGGGGGTACCCAAACCTGAAGTCGGTGAATGAACTCATCTACAAGCGTGGTTACGGCAAAATCAATAAGAAGCGTATTGCCTTAACAGATAACACTCTGATTGCACGGTCTCTTGGTAAATATGGTATCATCTGCATGGAGGATCTGATTCATGAGATCTATACTGTTGGGAAACGTTTCAAAGAAGCAAATAACTTCCTGTGGCCCTTCAAATTATCTTCTCCGCGAGGTGGGATGAAGAAAAAGACCACCCATTTCGTAGAAGGTGGAGATGCAGGCAACAGGGAAGACCAGATCAACAGACTTATTAGAAGGATGAACTAAGGTATCTCTCTGCCATGATTATTTTTGTAATCTGGTCTCTTAATAAAACAGTGACTGCTTTCAAGTGGAAAAAAAATAAAAAAATAAAAAACATGGCAGGGAAGGCATTCCTTTCAATCTTAGAACTATTTTGATCTAGCAGGAATACAATCTGACAAAGAAACTGTGTAAAATTAGTTATCTGGTATTTTTTTAATCATGATAATTAAGAAAGCAAGGGTTCCCTACATGAGGAGGCTTCAAAAAGTTTGTGGAAAAAGTGAAATTTTCCCCATGAACTTTTGATGTTCCCTTGTATAATGATAGACACACAGACCAGTCAGTATAAAAGAATTCAGAGAATAAAAATTAAGTCACACATGTTCAACTGATTTTCAACTGGAGCTAAATTCAATCTTTGGGGAAAGAAGAGTTTCTTCAATAAACGGTGCTGGAAAAAATTGGATATGCAAAAGAATGTACCAGGACCCAATTCTCACGTCATAAACAAAAACAAATTAAATACAGACACAAGTCTTAATTTGAATATAAATTCCCATTAGAGAACAGGCTAGACAAGAACATCAAGTTTTTGTGATAGGTTATTAGATGTTGTTAGGTAATCCACTACCACAACAGAGGCACAAGCAGTAAAACATAATACAGAAAATCCTATTTCTGTACCACAAAAAAAAAAAAAGTGACATAGGAAGAACAAAGATGGAGAAAATCATTGGGAACAATATATTGGAAAAAAGTCCAAAATCCAAAATTCCTACAATACTTCTAAACTTGGCAAGAAAAAAGACAACCTACGAAAAATAGGTGAAGAACTTGAACTCACATTTCACCAAGAATATTATTCAAATGGCCATAAGGCACATAAAGATACTCAAAGTCATCAGCCATTAAAAAAACAACAACATTGCCAAGGAGTCCGTTCTGATTCGTAGTGACTGTACATGGGTTTTTCCAAGGCCATAAATCTATACGAGAGCAGATCTTTCTCCCTCAGAGCAACTGCTGGGTTTGAATCTCAGTTAATAGTCCAGCACTTACTCTACAGCACCACTGATCTCAATTCTGCAACTATGAGACAGAGAAGGCTGTACCCTATGGAAGAAAACGTTTGCCTGTGTATAGGTTGGTGGGTATGAGCCACTGACTTTTTGACCTTTAGGTTATTAGCTGAGCATTTTAACTCCTGAGTCACCAAGATCCTCTTTAACAGCCATTGTTGTTGTTGCTGTCAAAATGACCCTATGCACACCAAAACAAAATACGGCCTGGTCCTGCACCATCCACACAATTGTTACTCACATCTGAGTTATTGTTGCAGCCACTGTGTTAATCCATTTTACTGAGGGGCTACCTCTTTTTCATTAACCCTGTACTTTAACATGTATGTCTTTTTCAGAAACTGGTGCCTCCTGATAACAGTCCAAAGTACAAGAGACAGAATACTGATATCCTCCCTGCTAAGGAGCGTTCTGGCTGCAGTTCTTCCAAGGCACACTTGTTCTTCAATATGACAATAATCTCCATCAAACCCATCGTTCAAACAGATCCACTCATCTTTGGTTTTCTTTATACCTTGATCCAGTTTTTACACTCATATGAGGCAACTGAAAATATTGCTTCCACTAGATGCTTCTTGGTCTTCAAAATGCCATCTATGCTTTTTAATATTTTAAAGAAGTCTTGTGCTGCAGATAAGTCCAATGTATTTTGTCATATGATTTCTTGGCTCCTGCTCCCATGGGTGTTGATCGTGGATCTGAACAAAATGAAATCCTTGACAACTTCAAACTTTTCTTCGTTTACCACGGTGGTGTCTACTGGTACCGTAATGAGGATTTTGGTTAGGGGAATTCAAACTAAAAGCTGTAGTCCTTGAGCTCTGTCAGTGCTTCAAGTCCTCTTCACTTTTAACAAGCAAGGTTGTATCACAATCTGCCTATCAAAGGTTGTTAGTATGCCTTCCTCCCACGTTGATGCTATATTTTTCTTCCTATCAGCTAGCCTTGCGCAGAATACAGATTAAATACATATGGTAAAAGGATACAACCCTGACACACAACCTTCCTGATTTTAAACCTTCTTTTCCCTATGATTATTGCCCACTCTTTCCTCCAAACTTTTTTTTGTTTTTGCACAATCAAACTTCTCAAAAAAGAGGCGATGCCTGCTCCTCCACTGCCTTATCTCCCATCCTTGCAAACACTAGGCCACGGACCTGCTGTGGTAGCAGCAGCAACTGCCAGACCCCCACTTCCATCCAGTCACACAGCCTTCAAGGCCCAGACTAATCATCTCCACCACCCTAATGGCCAGGTGAAAATAAGCTAAGAGTCAGACTCATCTCTTTCCCAGGAGTTGAAAGACAGAGGGAAGGCCCTTCAGCCATGGACTTGAGAGGAAAAGGTCCTCAGCATCACAGTGATGAATCCTGTGCAGACTCAGGCATAGCCAAAAGCCACCAGTAAGCCAAGGGAGAATGGTGTGGAGCAAAGAATCACCCAGGGACAACCAAGTGGGCCCAATGAGAGAAACACAGAGAGAAGCCACTATTAGCTCTTAACCTCACTACATTTCCAGCTACTAGGAAATCCAGGAGCCCCACCATCATTTTCAAATAACCTCACTCCCCCTTTTCAGAGGTATAAACTTCAATTGAGTCTGTATTCCACGCAACCATGGAAGAGAAAAGCTCTGACTGAAACAGCCCCTATCTTATACAACTTGCCTCTTACATAAGAGATTCCCTCCTACTGTTCAAAGGACTGCTTCGAGATCTATATACATGTTCTGTAAGGGCACATTTAAGTGTTCTAGATTTCCATTCTTTAGTATATTGCCATGGTTTGTTATGATCCACACTGCCAAATGTTTTTATATAATCAACAACAAAACAGCTTTCTGGTATTCTGTGCCTTCACACAAATTCCATCTAACATTTGCAAATGGGTATCAGAACAATCTGCTCTTCAATGTAGAGCGACAAAGTTGGAAAAGAACAAAGGATTTTGATAGCCTTTTCAGATACCTGTGGACATCTTTGATAATATACCGAAACTCAAAAAGTGGTAGTTTCTTAAGAATTAGTTGCAAAGTTAAACTTATCAATTAACTTTTCATCTGTTCCATTAAAATCCACTAGTGTATATGGTAGGCATTTGCTAAGATGACCCCAGTGATTTTTACATCCTATATTCACATTCTATGTATGAATTGCATGGACAGAATTTAATGACTTGCTTGTGTTGAATAAAGTGTGGCAGAGGTAATTGAATAGATTTCACTTCTAAAATTAGATTATATTTTGGGCTACCCTCTCTGGCTTTCTCCTTTACTGTGTGGTAAGAAGTTGCTGTCTCTGGTCAACAGTCACATGAATTATCTTGGAAGCAGATCCTTCCCTAGTCAGGTTTCTGAGATTACTATGGCCCTGGCTATACCTTGACTAACACCTTTATAGGAGACCCTGAGCCAAAGGCATAATGACCCAGCTAAGGCACAGTGGATTCCTGGACTAAAGAAAATGAAATAACAAATGTGTTTTTATGTAACTTTGGAGCTTTAGAGTAATTTGTTGTAGACCAATAGGAATCTAACACAGTGTGCTTCGCACTCTATGGATCTTTTACCTATGCACAATTTTATAGCAGCATACAGTAGCCCTTTGACAATCTCTGTTAACCATGTTATATAACTATGTCCAATATTAATGTCATTATACATTTTTTTAGATCACATCTGTTAATATCATCATCACGGGTCTCATCAGAAAGTCTAAAGCGGTCATACTCACCAGGGTGGAAACAAAGGCCCTAAAAGAGATGGACTGACAGAGTGGCTATAACAATGGGCTCAGACATAGTAACAATTGTGAAGATGGTAAAGGGACCTGGCAGTTGTTCCTATTATACATAGGCTCACTATGTCTCTGAACCAACTAGATGGCAACAACACCCCAAGCCCAAAGAACTATGGTGTGTTCGCAATCTTTCAAGAAAAACTGTGTTTTGTGAAAAAAGCAGCTAGCTACGCTCACAAATCAAACAACAGAAGTACTTTTCCTTAAGGCAACTATCATACTTTAGTATGCAAAAGTGCTTTATGCACACATCCTATCTTATCATACAGAATATTAAAAAGATACCTATCCAAGGGTCAAGATCTAATAAAATAGCTGCCATCACGTCATTAAGAACGTCATTAAATAAAACTACATCCTTTCACCACCAAACGTTTGTGAGTGTGTGACTAACTCAATAACTAGCAGCAGTGTGGTATCACTGTTTTGATTCCACTAAGATGATATCGGTGAAATTCACCATTACTTTTAAACCATTGGCGCAAATGTCAACACAGGAAAAAGAACAAAGACTACATTAACATTATTATGAAAATATTGACCTTCTGAAAGGTTATCAGAGAACTCAAATCACACAAATTGCTGCTTTAATTAACAATGATAAAACATAGTTTTCTAGAGACCCTTGTCAAGTTATAATAAGGTCGAACTAACAATGAAAGTTAGAATTGGCTTCCTAACTGCATAAAGTCATTCTCATCCTAATTCTCATCTTTTTCCTTAATATTCAACAATCCAGAAGTAAAAGGAGAGTAGAGTGTCAATGGAATTTTTCTGCCTCTTTTGTTCAAATGCAAGATAGCACAGAAACCATTTCCTGTAATTTTCTCCATTCAAAGAGCCTGTTTTTTTCCTTAAAAGAAAATAAAGCTCCCAAGGACACTGTTCCTCCACTCCAAAATATTCATAACATTTATATAAAAAAATAAAAATTATGAAAAATACCTCATTTCTTATGGTATGTAACAGCACAATGATTGGTTGAACTGAACAGTCCAGAAAACATGTGTACACTTTGGCATGGCATGCAGATCTTACAGATTTCTTCCATCCACTTTTACGTTATTTCTGAATACGGCGGGTGTGTTCTTTTATTCACGTCACAATCAAATTCCAATACTACCTAAAGGTCTAGTGATATGATTTATTTAACTTTAAACATCTTTTTCTTATAAATTAGTTCTCTAGGTTACCTAAAACCTTTTTAT